GGCGGGGAGCCCGGGGGAAAGGGACCCCCCCCGGCGGCCACGCAGCTCCCTGCGGTTCTCAGCTGCACTCCAGGCGTCACACGTACCGACCACATCCCCCGAAAAATTGCGGGAAGGAAAGCGGTGGTGAAACCGAGCGACGGGCTGCTGCCACCCAGATTGAAAGGCGCCTTTTTACAGCCGTTAGGTAGGATGCAGCAGGCACCTTCAGCCACGGCAGCAAAACTGCGGTCAAGCCCCACTTACTATCTATAAAGTGCTTGGATTTTTAGTTAAATACATTTGGAAAAGTCTCCTTCATTAGTATAATCGTCAAGGGCAACTGCTTTGAAATCATTGTGTATGACTAATAGGTGTGTTTGTGTCTTAAATTAAGGGAAATGGAAACGTCGGGCAGCATCGAACCCATCACAACACAGAAGCTGCCAGGAATTTCAGTGTCGATGCAGACAGAAGCTAGCTGGCTTAATGAACACGCCTACAGAAAATCAAGTAAGAAACAGCTTTGTTCGAGAAAGAGGTTGCTCATTGTATTGCCTTTCACTCAGGCTGCCTCATACCCCAGTGTCTTTCGTAGAAGACATGTGAGTTTGCAATTTCCCAGAGATGCTTTTGCAAACTGGCGGCAGACCTGTGAGCAGCCCCCAGGAATCCCCCTCTGCAGTCTCCTCATTAACCTCTCTGCAGAGCTGCTTCTAGATGAACTTCTGGGTCCCCGTTAAGCGTGCAGGAACGCTCTCCCAGCCAGCAGGCGTAGGAGTGCTCAGCAGATGGCAGAAATAGCGTATTGTATTCCTGTGAGAGGTACTGGCAAAGCCTCTAAGGAGAGCTGAAAATAATATCAACCTTTTTTCTCCTCCTGCTCAGCTGAGTCATCTCAGCATGTGACCGAGTAACCAGCTCCTTCGCTTGTCCGCTGAAGTACAGCATTGTACCTTAGCACACAGCATATTAGTGGTAGTTGCTGCCTGATCCCATCCCTTTTGGGCACCACATCGAACAGCCTTTGTGCTTCATTTTCAATGCCAGGCAGCCCTCCTCTGTAGGAGAACGTCTCCTGCATCTCATGTGCCTCTGAGAGTAGGAGGAGTGATCTGGGCCACAAATACAGCACACCAGCTGAAAGTACTGGGGAAAGCTGAGTGCAGATCCATCCCAATAGAAAGGGGGCATGCACACAGCCCACGACAGATAAACAGCGTGCTCTTCGTTTGTTTGGAAATGCACTGTGAATGTATTTGCAGGAGAAAAACATTGTAGGCTTTGTATTTTAGGCGGAGCTTCACGAGCCCTTGGGATGACTGTCATTGTAACGATCAAAGTACAGAATAATCAAACTTGTGCCAGTGTAAATCATCTACCTGGATTTGGATGCAGCAGTGGTAGATGATAGGGGTGATACAGAAGCTACAAAGCCCATTAGAGAGGGTAGAGTAAGAACATGGAGTGTCCACCTGTTCTGAGCACTGTGCCCCAGCTACCAGGCTTCCCTGCATCCCTCGGTGCCATGGTGCACCCAGAGCCGTGCCCTGGCTGCGCAGGTCCACTGGTGCACTTTGCATTCCCTGAGGTCACTTCATGTCATGTCAGGTCATGTCATGAAGTGACACAAAGTCACTTCTTCTCAGGTGGGGTTTATGATCAGTTACTTTCTATGACACAGCTTGATTGCAGAGGGTGATAACTACACGTCTTTGAACTGCAATTTAAAAAAACAAAGTTCAGGCAAACCAGCAGCCACATCATTCAGCCTTCTAAAAGTATAAGTGAATCCCATAGCATCGCTTTCTGCTTTTCCTCATGTGCTGGTGCATTCACTTCCAGACGCATTCACGAGCTGTGGTTCCCATTGCAGGCCTGGGAGCCAGGTGTTGACCTGGGGCTGTCATGATTTTTACCCTATCCTTTTTAAATACACGTTCTGAGTTTTTCACACTTTCCAAAAAGAAGGACTTAGAAAGGATTTGGTATTTCAGCCAGCCCAGTGTTTCGTCTGGCTGAGTACTTTCTGGAAAGCAGGACAAGCTTACTTAGAAGGGCAAGACAAATTGTGTGGCAACAAGGGGAACTGAAATTCAAGATTAAAAGAACTAGGAACGTGTTTAGTTTGCCTGAAGGGGAGGCTATGCCAGCTGGCATGCTGGCCATGTCGATATTCAAACAGAAGGTAAGGTATATGGGACAGCACGCAGTTGTGCACCTGAGGCGGCTGGATGTCAGTAGCACTGCCCGGGACCTGGGACTGCTGAGGACAGTGATAGACACCCGGTCATCTGAGATGTTTCCTGTCACCCCAAAGGCCAAAAAACCCTTCGTTGCACTCACACAGCATGGACTGCACTTAGAAATGAGAAAAAACTTCAATCGTCTCTACAGCTCTTTCATCTTAAGACAAGAGAGGCTGGAAATGCTTTAGAGGATCATGCAATATTAGATTAGTGCTACAAGTCACTGACCCTAAGCAATAAGCCGTCTCCATGACTTCAGTGGGATGATTTTGTAATGCCCTGATCCAATGTCAGTGCCCAGTTCAGGTCCCTCAGGCATTTGGGAAGGGTTACATGCAGATCCAGAGCCACCCTTCTGAAAGCATAGGACCAAGTCTGGCAAGAAGATCTTGGGCAGCCGATGTGGTTGGTGAGAAAAGGCTGGCGTGCTGAAAAAGGAACAAAACAAATGTGTCTAGAAGATAAGCTTTCTGAGAACACAGCACTGCTGTTCAGTAATTCTCATTATCACTATTACTTGCAGCCCTGTCAGAAGAGTTCAGCAGCTTAGATGTTTTGTGTGACATGGAGGTAAGGACTCACCCAGGTTGCATATATACATTTTATACTTAATGGCTTTACCCCTGAACAAAGATATGACTCCACATTGCTTTTGGTATTTTCCACTTTGAGTTCAAAGAAGATTTTGTGAAGCTGTTCAAAAAATCTCTGCGCACGCTCCCCTCTGTTGGCCTGCCTACCCTTCTGGCCTACAGACCCGAATCGTCACGAGAAAACATAGAGATTGAGGTAAGTCAGTGGTGGGTGTTCCCTACTATGTGGCTTTTTTTGTTTGTTTTAATTCCTACGATTCCCATGTAGGAAAAATAAAAATAATGCCCTTTGCCAAGCCAGTGCAGGAGTTCCTTTATGAAAGGGTTTTTCTTTTGTGAGGCTGTTGAAACGATGCTTGTTGTGCACATCTAAACAGCAAGAGGCTGTGCAACTCCTCTCCCCACCACCGCATCCTATGTTGAGAATTTCCTAGCAGAAGATTTTGCCCTTTGGCTAAAACAGATATACAAAACTTATATAAATATTAGGTATACAGTCAACGAATACAAGCAGGGCATAGAGTTCCCCGTAACCCTTAGCAGAGTAAAGTCATCAAAGAGAGTTAATCCTAGGCATGAGGTGGGAAGCAAGGGAATTTCCAGGAACTACGCTCCAGAGAAGCCAAGTATTTCAAATTAATATGTTCAGAAAAGGATTTGAATGAAAGTGCTAAACACATAGTATAGTAAATGAAGTGTAAGTGAAGGGCACCAGCTAAGCAGCCCGGAGCAAGTACCCTTCATGCCTTGCTGCTGTGGCTGGATGGCTGCTGTCTCTCTGGGGAGCGCTGAGCTAGGTGTGCTGCCCTTGGGAGTGGAGGCGTTAGACACGAAATTCAGCAGCATGCTCTTGGCAGCTGCATCTTCCATAACTCAGTTTCAAAATGTGTTTTCAAAAAATAGTTATTTCTTTCAGAATTTTTAGTACCCATCCTCAAAATATATCCTGCAGCAACCCTGATGTGCATCTGGTCAAATATACTCGGCTCTTTTGTCAACAGATCTGCTGGTGGTTCCTCATTAAATTCCCCGCAGGTTTTCGTATGATCAGCAGTGCAACAATTGGGGAGCTTTTTCTCTCCAAAGCCCCAAGCAATGTATTTGAAAGGGTTAATGCATCAGAGTACTCAACTATAGCGTTCTGCATGCTCTGAAGCTTTCTCTTGGAAGGAATGGGTCTCATAAATACTACAGTCATTCAATTTCTTTGAGGTTATTTATTTATTTATTTATTTACTACAGATTGGCTTTTCTTTTTGGTGGTTTCCTGAACCTAATGTTTTGAGTTAAATCCTTCCAAGATACCACAGACACAGATCTGTTTTAACAGCTCTTACACGCTTTACAACATTGCATTTTGAGCAGAGCCCTCTTTCCCCAAGATAAAATGAGGATTTGCAGGCTGATACCCTATTTCTGTCCTCCTGTTTTCTCTCCCCACCTCCACTTCAGACAGATGAGGACTGTGCTCCGAGGTGCGAGTACTGTGGCAGCCTGCTGAAGCCATTCCCTTCCTTCGAAGACGCTTGCCCACCGTCACAGGATTATGAATTAGTAAGCTGGTGGGAAAGATTAGCAGAGGTTTGCTGTGGAAAGGCCTGCCCTCATGGCACCACTCTTCTGCCTTTCAGAAATTCTGCTGCAAGCATAATCGAGACCTCTATGAGTTCATTGTAAATGAGAGGAAGAACCACGAAGGTGCCTGGAGCGTTCCCATTGCTGTCGGCCCCCATGAATCCCACGGTACCGAAGCTGACAGGCTGCTGTCAAAGGAGAGAGCATACCAGAGGTACCGTGAAATGACTACAGGGAGAACTGGGGATCAGGTCTGTATGAGGAACAACAGGCAACTCTGGAGGGAAAAGAAGTGTTAAGAAAATGAAACTGCAGCAAGAGGGAATGAAAGAAGAAAAAAAATTGCTTTAGGCAACACAAGTTCATATTCTATCTGGACCCTCTTGGCTCTTCTCTTATCAGGCTGTATTAGAGGGTGGCGAGGTATGTGCTAAGTAAAGCATTAATTCTACTGCTGACAGACATAGTATCTAGGGACAGGTAGAGCCAAAAACATAATTGCAGCTGTGGGACGGATAATATTTGGGTCTAGCTTTTACCCCAGGTGCTGGAACAAAGCTTGAATTTGTATTTCTCTTATTTTGCTGTGTAAACTCTGGCACGCATTTGGATTCCAATTTCCAGAGTCACGAGAACTCTGCAAGTTTGATTTCTGCTGGGCTGTTTAGCAGGAGGCCCAAAGCTTATACAAATATCTAAGCCTATGGCATAGGCTTAAAGACAAGTAAATCAGCATACCTGGAAGTAAACCGTTAGTTTCCTTGAAGATCCTTTGCAGTCTGATGGTGCGAGTACCTCATATTATGTACAGAGCATAAACCAAAGCCATTGTCAGACACTGTCAAATTTCTAGGAAGCTAGATAAGAATAGTGAAAATATTCTCAGACATTAGCTGTTTTCTTGATCTTGTGGGCAACGCTCCTCTTTTACATAAAATCTTGATACAAAATCCATTACAATGTTTAGCTCTGCTATCAGTAGAGCTGATGCCATTGCAATCGCAGAGTCTGTTCACTGAAATCTCTGTATGGGAGCAATTCCTTTTTGCTGAGTTATTATTATTTTGGTGATACTCTGTTGCCTCTGTTACTTGCAATTATGTGAGTGGAGAGAAAAACAGGTTCACAAATTTGTGTTCCTACGGCAAGGATATCCAGTACTTCTAGGTTTCAAAACAGGATATATGAAATGTATATCAGGAACGCTTTCATTTTCCAGGCAGCAGGAGAGACAAATGGCCAGACAGTTAGCTTTCCTGGCAGCAGGGCCGACGGGTGTAGCTGAATGTGAGTTTGCATTTCCTTATGTATTTATTTGTCTATTTATTACAACAATGAATTCAATGGAATTGCTTGTCTCTAATGCTCTCTAATTGAACAGAAGGATTTATACAGCAACATGTTAGTTCATTGTCAAGTGTGCCATCCCATTAAATTAGATATTGCCATATTAAATAATCCCTCACATGAAAAAACAAAAGCAGTTACATTCCCATTGCACAGAGAGGATCTCCTTGCTGTGACTTTCAGTATTTATATCTGAAAGTTTCAGCTGAGATGCACAGAAATTGACCTTAGAGAATAATAAGTTGGCAAAGCCAAGCCCTTGGAAGGTAGGAACTGCCAGAATTAGGGTGATCAACGTTTTGCCTAAGCAGGTGAATACTCCACTAATTCCTAGCCCAGGCTGTGGATGACTGAGCAGCCTTTTGGATCTAGCATCAAAAATGTCAAAAGCATTTTGACTAAGAACAGATGAACTAGATTTACAATATGGGCATATTTTCACAGAGGATGGCAAGCCACTGAGGCTTTTGCGGCACCAAGGATTTCAGATCATCAGTCGTCCAGAGCATGGAACCGTGAATGCTATCCAAAAAATGTCATTCTTTACTCACACAGATGTGTATATATACATAATTGAAAAATCTACATCTTTTTTCATAATCCTGTTCGCTGAAATAGCTGAACACTTTGGACTGTCCTTGTTAGATAGAAAATACCCTGAGACAGAGTCCCAGGATGGAGCATTTCAGCCAGAAATTCCCACTCCCCCAAGTTACAGCCTCTCTGCAGAGGTGTCAGGCAGCCCCGACATCCGCACTGCCAGCCCTACCCGATGCACACAAACCCTCCCTTTGCTCTCTAGGTTCAAATCAAGCTGGCACGATTTCCTACCTGCTTTCTCAGGAGCCCCCATCGCCAAAGGGCCGGACGCTGGTGCCTGGTGAGAGAGCAGCAAAGCCCGAGGAGGAGCCCATCTCCTACAGCGTCACCTGCTGCGATTTCACCCCTGTGGGTGGAAAGGCGAGTAGCTGCTGCCCAATGGCAATGGGCTGCACCTTGGCTGTGTCCACACTCCAGAGCGGCTGGAGCCCAGCACCTGCCTGCTTTTAAAGGGCAGTTGGTGCAGGACTGCTCTCATCCATTCTATCGTTTCTTTTCCAATCTTAGGTAGTGAAGAATGAATTGTTGGAAAAATACTACAAACATGGAGGGAAATTCCTTACCATGTTTCCAGATGGAACAGCGCAGTTATTGTATCCTTTACGGGGTTCATTTGTCTGCATTAGTCCAGGGTTGTAACTGTAATTTTAAGTGTGTCCTAGTCTGTTTTATCACAGAATAACCTGGTCCACCACTCACACTCGCTTCCACAGTCCGAAAAAAAGCAGTAGTGAAACCACTTACATAGCTCTTGGTCTGAAGTTTTTCAAATCAGCCAGTAGCTTCCATGAAGGACGGGCACTTGTGTCTTTAATACCCAGCTTAAGAAGTTCACTGGCCCAGTATTCAGACCCACTCCCGAGCTCTGGCCACCCGTGGAAGGGCGCTGCTGGCCGAGGGGTCCCTGCGGTGTGGGCTCCGAAAGTGCTCAGCCCCGTCCTTCCCCCAGGGACAAACAAGCACGTTTTCCACCAGCACAGCGCTGACGTCTCTGTCCTGTGGGCTGGAGTACATAAGAGGTGCACAGACAAACTGAAATTACCAGTGTAAATAAGAGTACTGTTTGAAGAAATAAAAATGTGGCAGTTTCACCATAGCTTTCAGGCTGCCTTTGCTATTATTTAAGCTATAACATTTTAAGTCACCCAAGTTGTTTTTCCTTACTGTGGCTGAGCTCTGCCACCAAAGCAAACAGGGGCTTGAGACTACTTCTCTGCTCTGCCCTCCAGGCTGCCTTCGTCCCAGGGATGCTGCTGGTCGCAGCGGTGGCAAATGGCAAGTGCCATAAACACATGCGCTCACAGTAGCAAGTCTTGCTGGAGGGAAACCCCAGTGAGGCACAAAATACCTGTTGTTTGGATACATTCAAGTCAGGTTTCAGGGGAAAGGGCCTTTTCTCCCCCTGGTTGTTTGGTTTTTTCCTCTGGGAGAATACCTGCCCCTGTTTTTTCTGCTGTCATCCAAGTTGAGTAATTTGATCACTTTGCTAGGCTTCTACAATCATAAGTGTTGTCCAAGAATGTGTCTTTAAAATAAATTTGCTAAGGGGTTCTGCCTGGGTTATTGGTTAGAAAACAACAAAAATGTATTCTGTATCTCCAACCACTCTTTTGTCAGTGCATACAGAATACTACAATGTAAGAGAAAAGCACTGGCAGCATCCCAGGTAGCACTGGCAGCACACCACCATTCCGCCTTTAACAGTGATCTAGGGAATATGTCAATTTTTATACTCCAAAGTAGCGCTCTGAAATATTTAGTATGTAGTAATAGACCAACCAGACAAACAAATGGGTTGTGAACACCTTATCTGATGACAGCTATCCGTCTGGAAATCTGGCAATCATTGTTGTACGAGAGAAAAAATGGCTTATTTGCATAGTACAGGAAGACAAGCCGAATAACGCCGAAATACGAGCAGTATTTAAGTCCAATGGCAGAAGTACTTGCTATTATCCAAACGGAGCTGTGTGGTATGTTCACATTGGTCAGAGCAGTTTTGCTCTCCACTGCACATTTTAAATTTCAAAGGTCATAAAGGGTATTTTTAATAGCATTCAAAAATTAAAAGACAAATATAGCAGCTTGTCAGTCCTGCTTTGGGTGCCTCCCAGAAGAGCAAGGCTACCCCAGCTGTGTCTTGAGATGGAGGGTTAGATCCCAAATTAGCTGTGCCTCAGTCCCGTCCCTCTAGGGAACGAGGGCCATCGGCCGTGGGAGCTGCAGGGTGCAGAGCTTCGATTTTCCTCTCTTTTAGGATAAACATGAGTATTCAGGGAGGGCAGTATTTGGACCAAGAGGGCAGCAGGATGAGAAGGTGGACGTGGCCGAGCAGCATCATGTCATCAGGACCCCATGTCCCGCTGAGCCCCATCTTCATCTCCCTGAACCGGCACATGGGGGTCAGGATCCTGGGCCAGGACAAGATCACCGTTTCCTTCCTCGCCATGGGGCAACAAGCAAAATTCAGCGTGGGAACCAAAGTGCAGGTATTTCTCAAGCACACAGGCAGCTCCATGCAAAGCCACTCCCCACAGCAGGAGTAGGGTGGCCAGGGAAGCTCCCATCTGTGGGGAAGCATGCTCAACCCGTGGTGGGTGCTCCCCGTGTTGCCCCATGGTCCTGCCCCCCAAAGCAGTGGAGGTGTACCTGTGCTCAGTCCCCATGCTTGCCAGCTCTGGCAGCCCTGGCTCTCTGCAAGGGGTTGCAGAGTGTGGGAAGTGCTCCCGGGCAGGTCCCCAGTGTCCCTGGCCATGGCTCTGAGGGTCACCCTGGCTCTGCCGCGGGGAGGAGAGCTGTGATCCATGTGGGCACGGTGCGCGGCAGCTCCCTTCCTCCACAGGCTCCTGCCACGGGGGCAGGTTTGTCTGCTGGGGAGAGACCAAAGCCCCGAAGCCCCGTCCCATGCTGCTGTGGCTCTGCTGACAGGATTTGCCTCTGCTCCCCAGGTCAGCGATGTTGGCCAGCTGCCTCCCCCCACCTGGCTGGGCGAAGATGAGCTCCTGCTGCTTGCCTTCAGGGTGAGGATCCTGTGGCTCTTCGACAGACTGCGAGGATGCTTAAACTTTCCTTCTAATGAGCAATGGGACAAAATCAAGCCTCCAGCGTACCTTATCACACAGACTTTAAAGATCTTACAGCTTTGCACAAATTCTGACATAAGTGATGAGCTACGCAGCTCGGTCAGGGCGATAGTAAATGCTCAAGTCTGACCAGCACATGTGTGGTGTGAAGGCAAAACAAGCCGAGCGAGACACTCCATGCTGCTGCAGTGACTGCACACACTCAACAAGGTTTCGCCTGCAGCCCTGCCCTGCCGTGGCACGGAGCAAAGGGCAGCCCGTGGCTGTTCTGCACGGCCCCTCTCCTAGGGCCGTCCCACCCCTCCGGGGTCTCACTCAGCATAAGCGGGGCTGTGGGGAAGGGAGTACCAGAGCACATTTTCTTGTCAGCCCACGCTGAAGTGCATCTTGGCCATGGAGGCACGAAGAGGGGGTTTGCTCAGGGCAGAGTAAATCTGTGCTTGATGTTGGTGCGTTGCTCCTGAGCAACCTCTCTTCTGTCTCCCGGCAGAAACCAGCCCAGGCTGACCAGTTGTTTCAGTCTGTGGACATGGCACAAAGATAAAAGCAAACAGCACAGCTAAGTCATAGCCTGTGACAGGTATATGGGGAGGACGTGTTTGCTCAGAAGTCACCCACACAGGCATTGCTCTGCACAGCCAGTGCTTCTGCCAAGGACATGGCACCAGCAGGATGCCCAGATTTCCCTGGCACGAGTGCTGGATGGGGGTGGAGTGCTCAGCCCGCTGCAGGTATGAGACACAGCGGTTCCCCATGCAGAGGGAGGGACAAAAGCCCACAGTTTGTCCAAAGCAATCAAAGGTCACTGTCTTGGTGACGTTTGTGCAGATGCTGGGGACGGAAGGCCGTTAATGCGGACAGCAGACAGCGTGGATGAGCCACAGCCTCTTGGCAGCAGCTCATAAACAGCTGATGCAGCGGGAAGACTCTGCTGCACCGGGCGTCCTGCTTGTCCCTCCCGCTGTGGGCCCGACGGCCGCAGGAGCAGCATGGGTGGAGGTGGTGGGGCACGGACCCCTCATGAACCAGGTGCCTCGGGCCAGCCCCCACCCCAGCTCCCAACAGTTTGGACGTTTGAGGCCAGGGGCTTCACCTGGCCCTTCATCCTGCACCTTTCATCCTGCACCTGAGCAGCTTTGTGAGGTGGTTCCGGATGTCTTTGCTGTACAGGGCGCAGATGAGGGGGTTGATGAGGGAGCTGGTCTCGCCCAGCAGTAGTAAGGCACCCTTGAGCAGGCCGGCCAGGTTGCAGGAGCTGCAGGTGGCCTGCACGGTGCCCCCCACCGGGTAGGGGCCCCAGGAGAGGCTGAAGCCAACGAGGACGATGAGCACGGTCCACAGTCCCTTGAAGTGCTGCGGGCAGGCGCGGAGGCGCCCCGTCTGGGTGCAGGCGTGCTGGAGCTGCGTGTGCTGCACATAGGCGATGCTGCCTGCCGAGACGTGCAGGCACACCAGCACCAGCAGCGATGGAGCAAAGGTGCCAAAGCAGATTGCGTAGAGGTACTCACTCTTGGCCACGTACAGGAGCCCGCAGTAACCCGTGTAGTTGCCTCGCTGGAGGGAGGGCAAGATCAGAGGCAAGCGCCAGAAAAGGAAGGACAGCATCCAGAGGACAACAAGGGAGAGGACCATGGGCATTTTCTTCAGGAGAGTGGAGTAGGAAAGTGGCAGCGTCACCGCCAGGTACCTGTACAGGGAGATCAGGAGCAGGGTCAGGATGGAGCCGATGCAAGGCGTCATGCTCGGGGCGATGCGCAGGAGGCAGGCCTTGCTGCGGTCAAAATCCCTGTCGAGGCTGTCGTCCAGCGTCTTCGCTGGAGGGAGGGCAAGATCAGAGGCAAGCGCCAGAAAAGGAAGGACAGCATCCAGAGGACAACAAGGGAGAGGACCATGGGCATTTTCTTCAGGAGAGTGGAGTAGGAAAGTGGCAGCGTCACCGCCAGGTACCTGTACAGGGAGATCAGGAGCAGGGTCAGGATGGAGCCGATGCAAGGCGTCATGCTCGGGGCGATGCGCAGGAGGCAGGCCTTGCTGCGGTCAAAATCCCTGTCGAGGCTGTTGTCCAGTGCCTCAGCGATGCACCTCATGCCCACCAGCAGGTCAGTGGTGGTCAGGTTGAGGATGTTGATGTAGCTGGTGCCTGGCTGCTTCCTCATCAGCTGGTAGGCAGCCACAATCACCAGCAGGTTGGCTGGGGGGATGAGGCAGCTCAGAAGGGAGTGCAGAAAAGCCAGAGTCCTCACCTGTGCTCAGCACGAGCCGCCACAGAGTGAAAGCACCCAGGGCAGAAGTTCACCACCCAGGCACTGGCTGGGTTGGCAGGCTCCCAAGCACGTCTGTGACACAAAGCGATAAGGAGCAGCTTCGCCAAACAAAGCCGAGACAAGCAGTCAGCGAGGATGGGAACGCAGGCGGTCCATGCCCCTCCCAGTGAGCCAGCGCCATCCCCTCCCAGCGCAGCACCGGCGGCCGGGTGGCCAACACACCAGCTTCCTTGGGGCGCTGCCTCTTGGCAATAGGGAGGTGTGGGGCCACAGGAATACCTGCTGCGCCAGGACACTGTGCTGGGTGCTGTGGGGCTGACAGCCCAGGCTGCTGCATACAGCACAGGGACGTACTGCAGCCTCCAGACCCTGTTCACGGATGGGAGCATATGGGGAAGGGGGAACAGCAAAGGAAGCACATCCTCAGGCCCCGAGCAGCCGGGGCACAGCCAGGCAGCCTGTCCATACAGCCGAGACATGGCCAGGCAGCCAGGGTGTGCAGGCTGAGCATGGTCGAGCAGCTGAACGGGGCTGTGGGCCCATCCCTGCACTCAGCACATGGTGCCTCGGCAGCATCACGAGACACGTCAGCTTTTTTCTGGCCAAAACGCTGCAAATCGGAGCTCCCAGATCACCCCTCCTCATACTGTCCATGACAAATTAGTCTGAAGAGGCCCCCCCCAGCACCCCATCACACCCAGCCTCCTTGTCCTTACACCTGCAAACCAGTCCTGGCATTTTGCAGAGTGAGATTTTAGACCCTAAATAAATGCTTCAGTGAAGGCGTTTGCAGATCAGAGCATACAGTAAGAAGTGGTTCCTGGGGCTATATGCACTGCACCTATTCACTGTGCCCGTGTCTTCAGTGGTGAGTGGTTGCTCAGCCTTTCCCTCACGGTGGATCAGCTTGCGGTGCATCGGCTGGTGACAATGGTGGCTCTGACATGCAGTGGCATTGACCACAAAACTACCCCTTCTGACCCCCGCGGCAGTTCCCACAGCAGCACCCAGCTGCTGTTGGCAGCTCCATGGGCCCGGCCAGGTGGTGGCAGTGGCCACAGCGGGGTGTCGGGAGTCGGGCACAGCTGCTTGGCCAGTGGAGAGACGAACCCAGAGGATGGCATGTGGGGCAGACAGGCCACATGCCTGGTCTAGGGGGACGGTGGGATGCACAGCCCCAGTCAGGGCCACATCTCAGTGGGGCTGAGTTTGTTACTTCACTGTCAGTACCCAAGGACCCCTGCGGTTGCTCTGCCAGCGTGGGACGCATCTGCCCAGCGCACGGGGACGACACCGTGGCCGTGCCAGAAACCGCCCAAACTGCCACCGTTCCAGCCACTGTCCTGTCCTCCACTGAGCACCTGCTCGGCCATTCCCAGCAGAATCCAACGTGGGCAAAACCAGCTGCAAACAGATTTTGGCTGTGGGTGAGTGGGGGAATGCCGTGAGCGTCCAGCAGAGCAGGACGACTGGAGTTTCCTGGCAGCACTGCCCTGGCCGGTACGGAAAATTTTGAAGGTTGGTCTGCTAAGGCCATGGGAAATAAGGGCACACTGGAGACACCAGGGGAGTGGGGCGATGCTTTATCAGGTTCTCCTGGCCATGCATCAGCAAACACATATGAAATGAGCTTTTACTCTATACAGCTGCAACTGCAACACTAATAGGAAGTTGCACAGTAAACAAACCCCAGAAAATTAAATCCAATTTATGTCAAATTGGGCTCTGGATAAACATACTATATTCATTAAGTTCACATTTATTTACAGATTTGGAATTTAAGACTACCAGTCCAAGACAGATATTACTTGCAAGTTCTTGTTAATGAGCAGCATGATAGGTCTGTTAATAGCACTGCAAACACCATTTGGAAGGGGCTCATGCCATGCCATCGTAGCCATGAGCCATGCACAGCGCCTGTCAGCCTCCACCGCCTCGAGAAACACCCCCTCCCTAGGAGAGGGGTGGTGGAGAGGACTGCTCCTGCTTGCTCACCCGGGCTCGCACTGGTCTCATCACAGGGCTGTCAGTGGAGTGCAGGGCCTTTGGGAAAGGGCAGAAACTGGATGTTCAATGGAATAATTGAGGTTTACATCCATGCCAAAGCCTGTAACGCAGTCCACTGGGCAAAATCGCATACTAAAATTACCAGAAGTGGCAGGGCATCGGCACACACCTGCCGCCAGCTCCCCTTCGCCTCTCTGTGCCCAGGCAATTTCCGAGCTTTCCCCAGAGCCGTAGCAAGGGACTGTCCCCCCATGCCACAGGGCCTGAGGCAGAGCAGCATCCGGCTGCCACACAGTCCAGCTCCCATGAAACACAGACCTTTGCAGACTCAGGCGCGGTGGCTTGGGTGAAAATCTTTGATTAGATTCAAAAACTTCTAGATTCTAAATCTTTGGTTTAGAAAGACAAAGATCACACCTGTGAGTTCAATTTCGACCTGTTGTGCCATTGTAATTCCAGTTCTTAGCAGGGTTACGTCTCATTTATGCCAGCATGGGAGGAGACCAGAAGACAGATCTCTGCTGCAAACGGCTTACGTGTAACAGCTGTTACACGTCCCAGAAGTCTCCTAGGATGGACAAACTGCTCCTTAAAGGACTGACTTAGGTGCTCCTGGCCTCAGTCTGCAGCTGGAGGGTCTGAGGCACTTCTGTTCCATCCCTCCAGCTCGGCCACACGTCTCCTCATGGTGGGGTTTTTCCACACTGGGGCCAAGTTTTCCTGGGCATCTTTCAACCCTCCTCGCCAGGGAAGACGGTCAACCTCCTGTACGCGGTGCTGCACTCCCTTCTGAGCTGCCTCATCCCCCCAGCCAACCTGCTGGTGATTGTGGCCACCTACCAGCTGATGAGGAAGCAGCCAGGCACCAGCTACATCAACATCCTCAACCTGACCACCACTGACCTGCTGGTGGGCATGAGGTGCATCGCTGAGGCACTGGACAACAGCCTCGACAGGGATTTTGACCGCAGCAAGGCCTGCCTCCTGCGCATCGCCCCGAGCATGACGCCTTGCATCGGCTCCATCCTGACCCTGCTCCTGATCTCCCTGTACAGGTACCTGGCGGTGACGCTGCCACTTTCCTACTCCACTCTCCTGAAGAAAATGCCCATGGTCCTCTCCCTTGTTGTCCTCTGGATGCTGTCCTTCCTTTTCTGGCGCTTGCCTCTGATCTTGCCCTCCCTCCAGCGAGGCAACTACACGGGTTACTGCGGGCTCCTGTACGTGGCCAAGAGTGAGTACCTCTACGCAATCTGCTTTGGCACCTTTGCTCCATCGCTGCTGGTGCTGGTGTGCCTGCACGTCTCGGCAGGCAGCATCGCCTATGTGCAGCACACGCAGCTCCAGCACGCCTGCACCCAGACGGGGCGCCTCCGCGCCTGCCCGCAGCACTTCAAGGGACTGTGGACCGTGCTCATCGTCCTCGTTGGCTTCAGCCTCTCCTGGGGCCCCTACCCGGTGGGGGGCACCGTGCAGGCCACCTGCAGCTCCTGCAACCTGGCCGGCCTGCTCAAGGGTGCCTTACTACTGCTGGGCGAGACCAGCTCCCTCATCAACCCCCTCATCTGCGCCCTGTACAGCAAAGACATCCGGAACCACCTCACAAAGCTGCTCAGGTGCAGGATGAAAGGTGCAGGATGAAGGGCCAGGTGAAGCCCCTGGCCTCAAACGTCCAAACTGTTGGGAGCTGGGGTGGGGGCTGGCCCGAGGCACCTGGTTCATGAGGGGTCCGTGCCCCACCACCTCCACCCATGCTGCTCCTGCGGCCGTCGGGCCCACAGCGGGAGGGACAAGCAGGACGCCCGGTGCAGCAGAGTCTTCCCGCTGCATCAGCTGTTTATGAGCTGCTGCCAAGAGGCTGTGGCTCATCCACGCTGTCTGCTGTCCGCATTAACGGCCTTCCGTCCCCAGCATCTGCACAAACGTCACCAAAGACCACACCTGGGAGTTCGATTTCGACCTGCTGTGCCATTGTAATTCCAGTTTTTAGCAGGGTTACGTCTCATTTATGCCAGCACGAGAGGAGACCTGAAGACAGATCTCTGCTGCAAACGGCTTACGTGTAACAGCGTGTTTTTCTGCACTCGCAGTGGGAAACGCGAGTCCCATTTTTTCATCCTTCCCTAGTCTGCATCCAGTTCACAGCAACTCCACCACCCCTATATCATTTACCCTTGTCCTTAACAAGCCAAGATCAACACACTTGAATTTGCCCCTCAGAATTATTATTTAATACCAATTTTGCACAGGGGTGAAATCAATCAAGTGTTTGAATAGGGCTTTTTTAGATCAATGGGTCTTTATACCTTCATTTTAAAATTACAAAGTAGCATTGTGGAGGAGAGAGCAAAAAGCTGCAATTTTAACACCAAGACAACACCTGGGCATCCGGGCTTCCCGCTGCCCCCCAGCAATGCTGGTTGTCAGACCCTTCTCCACAAAAGAAAGACACGTTTAGTAAGATGATTCAAGGAGGAGAAACCCTTTCAGGATTACTGAATACACAGGAAGCACAGAGGGCCCAGAAAGACCCGCGCTGAGTATTTCTGGAGGCTGGGAGGTGAGAGAGGGCGAACGTGAAGCAGTTCGTGCTCGCCCCAAGGTCTGTCCCCCTGGGCACTGCTAGAGACAGGTTTCCAGGCTCTGGACACCTGTGATGCAAAACTGCCCAGCTGGGCTTAAGCCAGACATTAGGAAACACCAGTTTCAGACTAGAACAAGTTCTCCTGGTTAAAGCACCACAAATACCGAGTCATCAGCTGGTGTTTGGCAACTGGTTTATAAGGTGGCTGGCAGGTATCGCTGCCTTTAATGACCGTCAACATTCTTTATTTCCATTTTATTGTTCAGTTTTTCCGTTTGGAAGTGCTCTATGAATAGCGATTGTGGGGCTTGGTCCAGCCCATAAAAACAAGTCTGCTCTGCGCACCCTACAACCCAGAGCAATTAGACATGACCAAAACACTGCCCAGCCTCTGCCCCCTCAGTGGGAACGGCAGAGCGCTGTGCTTCTGGTGCATTTAAGGGACGTCAGCAAAGGTTCTCGCATACCTAACTCCAACATACCGATACACCATCTTGCTCAGAGGGAATACTGGGGGCAGCAAGCAGATTGCGGGCAAGTATCACTAGGGCGATAATACCAACAGCTCATGGAAAATCTTAGCCTAGCAACACATCTGTGCATTTATTTGTTTTCTGTCTAATTTGTCTGAAGTGTGTAATTAACGAGAAACTAAAACTCTATCCACACTAGAAAATTTTGGTTAATCTATTTCAGAAGAGAAGGCATGAATTGCCTAAAGAGATGATTTCATCACAGAGCCAAAGCAGCCTTGAGGCCATTGCGTGTTTAATGGCTGTGATGAAAAACACTTTTTAACAACTGGCATCAACTTTTCTCTCAGCTGGGTGGACAGAGCTGTGGTTACCTGACACATTTCCTACATCAGTCCCTAAAGCCTCAGGGCGGGTCAAAGACAATTCTTACAAACCATGACAGCTGCCTTCGTCGTGGCTCTGCAGATTCCCTTCTCATCCGATTTACTGCCCCAACAGAGAAAAATCTCCCTCCCTCACCTCCCCATCCAGAGATAATTTTGGGAAGAAGGACCCAGAAGTACTTTAGCCGGTTTTACAAGGGGTGTGAAACCCCGTAGCTCGGAGCAGGGACAAAAAATGGAGTGGGAGGCAGGCGCTGCCGGGACTGAGCCTCCCTGCACAGGCGCCAGAGCTGCGGCTGCTCAGCCGTCCGGCCTGGAGCACACCGCAGTCAGGAGACACAATGGTGAAGAGGAACTGCAGACTGGAGGCTGCAGTCTGCACCTCACGCTGACTCAGAAAGCCAACCTGAGGAAAATTCCCAGCCCCCGCAAGAAAACCGCATTTGAAACTTCACTTTAACCCAGTGAGCGTCCCCTGGTACAACAGCACCTGGACTCTAATCGCAGCTGAATCTTGGCAGGCGCACGAAGGAAAAGACAAAGCTCTGTGTGTTCCTTCCAGAACACGGAGGTTGTTAGGGGCTTAGACAAGACAAACAAGATCGATGACTTTGGAAAGTAGGCTTTTTATGCATTTTTTCAATTGCAATTCTAAGAATATCCATCAGTGACTCAAACAAGGTACTTCACACAGTAAATGAGAACTCTTTATTTAAATTAACTTTCTTAGTTTCTATTTAGGACAGTAGAAAGGCCCAGCTTTTCATCTCTTCAGAACGGTCAAGGAAAAACCTCTTGAGCTGGCCAACACAATTTAAAGAGCAGTTGATCTTAATTTTTACTGAAGTCACAAAACAATGTAACTACTCTGCATATAATTTTGTTTATATAATTTAGCATATAATGCACTGTTCAACTCTGCCATATATTTTGAAAAATATACAAACCTGCTTTAACCACATTAGCGATATTTGATAGACAGCTGTCAATTACTTAGGACAATATCAGACACTCCTATAACTTCATTTTAAACTACAAAAAGAACGTAAATTCATATAAAATAGAACAGATTAAACAAACCTTTTTTCCCCCCGAGGAAAAATTGGATATCAACTCAATCTGCCATTGTGTGAAACATGAATATAAAATAAGTTACAATTAGTAATGCCTGCATTGTTGAGCTATGAACTGGTCGAATGAAATCTTAAAAAAACTATACAGTATTATTGCACTCCATGAATGTGCAGTATCTGGAACACGCCAGCACTGAAAGAGGTCTTTCATTAAGTTTTTTTTCAGGAGGCACAACGTGGCTGCGAGAGAAGCATCCAGTCTGTACTAACAGCGTGCTGTCTTCAGTACAGGCCTTCATGGGTCTGAGCCACGCTGCCTTTGGAAATCGCCACTTAATGCCTGGAAACAGAGACACAAGTGTTACAGTCGGCAACTACGCCTGCGTTAAAGGAGCAAACCATCTCCAGCGCTGTCGGAACAGAGAGCCGAGGCATTTCCTGCAAACTAGGGAGAACAGCAGGCTATGTACGCTTCGGATTATAAAACCTGAATTACAAGCACTGCCTCCTGGGATGTCACAACTCATGGCAAGAGAGTACGATTATTATTTTATTCTGGGCAATGGCCTACAAGGATACCATCAGAATGATATTACATTAGCATGATTTCAAGCAAGGAGACGTTACAACACAAACTCACCAAGTCTCACTATCAGACTCTCCTAACCTGTAGTGTTACTTCCCACATGGATGGAAATACAACTGAATGTGGGTTTTTTTGTTGTTGTTGTTTTTCTAAACTCATATCCCATTAAATAAAATTCTACATGAGAACAGTCTTAGCATGCTTTGTAAGCTTGAAAGTGACGTCAATCTACTTTGCAACAAAGAATACTGCCCGAGACCCTCCAAATCCACACACATAGGATGCTGGACTTCAGCAAGCCCATCTGAAAAGTACAGGAAACACCAAACTTCTAAATACTAAATAGTATTTTAAAAATATGAAACAACTTTGCTAAATTAATAGGACAAACCAGACTTAACTGAACAAACAGGACATGCCTGCAGGAATCAAAAGTCAACCGTTTCTCATATTCCCTGCATGAGAACTTGGAGGGAGCAATCTCTCTGAATTGCTCTCCCCACTTCAGGAAGCTGCAGGAGCGTTAGTGGAGGGAGAGATCGATGGGGCAAAAAAGTGGGGTTCAAAATCTGAGCTCTGAAGCAGTGAGAAACAGCAGAGCAAGCCCTGGTTACAGAGCATGGTTTCCTACAAGGAGTGAGACTGCCTGCAGTGCTTTGATAGAGCTTAGGTTTCTCCGAGCGTACACCTCCACGTGCTATGTTCTTGCTTACGTAAACACGAATTTGCAGAAGCCGAATCATTGTAAACAGAGCTCCAAAGGAAATCTGTGCAGGTGTTTGAACAGAGCTAGGTCATTAACTGCTACAGCTGGGACCAACTGATCAGTTTAAGATGGTGAGATGAGTTGCAAGATGTCAGCTGACAGAAATGGGAGCACAAGGTCTGTCACTTGAGAGTGGGGTGTCTGCTGGCAAGATAATGCCAAGAAACCAGCCTCTCAAACCAAAGCATTCTTGCACCAAAAACTGCACCACAGCTAATCAATACTTCACTTAAGTCGTCTCCTAAACGTCAACTGCCATTTTTTGCACCAAGATAGTCTTTTTGTAGCACATCAATGTTCCTATGAAGAATCGTAAGCTAAATGTTTTGAAAGCCACAAGTGACACAGGAACACGGAATTGGTTTGTCATCAAATATAAAAGCATGGATGTGAACCCTCTGCTATGAACAGTCAAGGAATATTTGTGAAAGGTTAAAACAGTACAGCACACAGACGGGAGCAAGAAAATGTTCTACTTTCTAGGGTCATTCAATTAGGTTACAAGTTATAGAGAAATCCTTTGCACATAGACTATTTTAAGGCACATAATGCAGGGTGTTTTCTGATCTCTGCATAACACAGTTCACTAACTTAAGGCCGCCTGCACGCAGTAACACATTTTTTTCTGTCCAAAGGAATGCCAGCTTCTAGTTTTGAAATGGGTAGAACAAACCCCAAACCAAAACCTCCCACCAAAACAGTATCTGTAAAATCATCCATGTCAATTTACTGAAAGTTACTAGAGCTGGTTCTCCAGTAAAACACTTTTAAAT